CATTTTGACGGTCTGGACCCTTCCAATGGTAAACACATGTATGCAACCCATTCGATATCTACGCTCTCATGCATGTCCGATTCTCTGCCTCAACCCTATTTTGGTGCATATTGTGACCCCATGCGAAGGGAACCGTGTGCCAAGTATGCAGCTCTGAAGCTGAGCTTCAGGATGAGTGACCTTACAGCGCTCGTCATTGACTTTCGTCTTGGATAGTTACTTTCTTCTTTTCCCTCCCTAATACGCGGTACTACATGGCACTTAAAAGGGCAACTATCATTGTTCTCGGGGACTATATCACTCGACCCTAGCCTACCCTAAAAATCAGAGGACGAAGAAAACACATATGACGTTGAGAAACATAAGCATAATGCTTCCAATTTTGTTTGTTCTCGTTGCCTCGGTCTCTGCGCTGAATTTTACCGACTCTTTGGTTGTGCCAACTCCTGCGGACCATTATGTTCGTTATGTTACATTCCTTGCGGTCGGCGATCGGACGTATACGTGCGACCCAGCCAACAAATCATCGCCCTACACGCTGAAGTCGTTCAATTATGATATGTATGATGCTGAGATCGATATTCGACGCAAATTCAACCTCGGTAAACATGTGTTGATGCTGCAACGTGATGTCCAAGGAGGGAACTCGGTCTTTTATACTGCAAACAATACATTCACTTATTGGTAAGTTCCAAAGCCTTCGGTGTTTACGTTCTAGTTGCCTACATACTAACTGACCGTGGCTAATTAGGGTGGGCAAGACAATCATTCTCACTCCGGATCCTCTGGCTCATAGTTCATTGGATCTCACTCTCGAACAGGAATTGAGAACTGAAGCATCGGAGCCTAAGACCGAGGCAGGGAAATATGATATGGGAATAGCTGTTTATGCAACTCGCTTTGGCGCTATCGGTGGTAATCTTCCAACAGGAGTTAAGTGTACTGGAGACAGGACTGTCAAGTCTGAGGTATATTACTCAATGTTTAAGCAAGTGCTCTAGGCTAGTAATGTTGTTGTGAGGGGCAAGCTATGTCTCTCAAAGGCGGAGACACGAGCGACTAGCAATGACATTTGATGGTAGGATTCTGTGACTTATGAAGAAGCTTACTCTATTGATGGAAAAATAACACTATTTGCACGCCTCTTGGCCTTTGATTTACGATGACCCATAAATCCGGCACTCGCTTACGCCACAAGTCTATAAAGTTCAGGACGAATGAAGATAATGCTGTTTTTGCTCTATTAATCAATTAGGCTTGACTAGACTAACCCCGGATTCCAACTTTCCCCGCATTGCCCCTCCTTAGGTTCGGTGTGTGCTGCCGCGAAGGGTTAAGAACTTAGCCAGCTAGAATAGGAACTGTTTAGGATCGGCATCTTTAACAATTGTTTTAGACTATAGCTCTTGCGATCCACGAAGCTGTCGGTGCATTTCTGTTGCTTGGCTATGACGTTGTGTAAGCTGGTAAATGCTAGCCGGGGACCAAGCAAGCGGGGTGATGTGAGACTCGAAGATATATGAAGCTCAAGTCCTGCCAAGCCAGTTGTATGATGGGCGTTATAGCATTCATTAGCCGGAAGATGGTTTCGAGCTATCGATCATGTGGTCTAAAGTCTTGCCTCGGTGGCTCGCCTTCTTTATCAATGTGCATGCCGTCCTTGGCGGGCCGTCACTGGTTCGTGTCAATGAGACTGTAACAACGATTACGAATGGCGACTCCTTCGAGATGAGCATTCATCCAGATGGGTACACGAACTCAATGCTTTGGAATGGTCGTGAGCTTGTGCGCAATGCAACAGGGGGCTACTCGGACACTGGCGGTAAAACGACATTCAATTTCACAAATGGACCAACACTAGTCGAGCAAACGGATAACATGGTCCATGTCGTCTTCAAGTCATATTATGCAGACGTTCATTATATAATGTTCAGTGGTTTAGCGGGATTCTACCAATATGTCGTCAATCAGAACCTCGGATCTCAAGGCGAGGTTCGCAGCCTATACAGACTTGATCCACTCCAATTCACACAAGGCCGGACTAATATCAAGAACGGGCCCCTTCACGCGATACAGGATATTGAAGTTGGGTATAAGGTGCAGGATGAGACATGGCAACGTCGTAATGGAAGCTATATTACAAAATACGATTTCTCTTGTTTCGTAAGAGATCTCGACTTTCATGGTTTATACGGCGAAGGTGTTGGAGCCTATGTGATTGCCCCCGGAAAAGACTATTACATCGGCGACCATTTGAAGCAAGAACTGATGTTGCACCGAGAAAGTTCCACAGACGATGCTGTTTTGTTGCACATGTATCATGGTAAGATCATGAGGGTACATCCTAATGGGTATACTAATACGCAACTCTGCAGGATCACATTACAACTCGGAATTCAGTAATAATATTCCCATTGGTAAAATGTGGGGTCCATGGCTATTCTATGTCAACAATGGCGACTTATGGGATGCCGAGTCAAGGAGCAAAAAGGAAAATCTCTCTTGGCCATATCGCTGGCTTGATGACACTGATTATCAGAACCGTGGCTCGGTTACTGGTAAACTTATCCTTAGTGATGGTCGGCCAGCAACTGGGGCCGCCATATTTCTTGGAGATGAGAATGGACTGGAAACTAATAACCAAGGTACCTTCTATCAGTACACCACTTATGCCGCAGATGACGGTTCCTTTACATTAAAGAACGTCAGGCGAGAAAAGTCGTACAGGCTGATAGCTTGGGCTAATGGCGGCGCACTTTCGGATGTTGATGGAGTACACAATGGAACAACAGTCTCATTCAATAAGACATGCTCTGTTGACTTAGGAACAGTTGTGTGGTCCGTCCCAAATCGGGACATTGAGTGGCAAATCGGGGACTTCGATCGCAAGACTCTTGGCTTTAAATATGGGGGCGCAGTCATGGAACGTAAGTAACCTTCGATATGAACGCAGTCCTCTTACACCAATTTCTCGATCTTCCTAGCAACTGTGCAATTCAAAGGTTGAAAGCTGCACTCAAGAACCGCCAACATCGGTGTTTACGCTCTCACGATACTCTTACAAGACAATAACTAACAATAAATATCATAGACGGCTTGAGTGACCTTTGCCCTGCAAACTTGATCTATGCTATCGGCGTGAACAAGCCGGCAGACTGGTGCTTCGCTCAAAGTGCCCAGGGAAATTGGACAGTAATCTTTGACAAGAGTACCGTACAGAACCGCAAGGCCGTCCTCAGCGTTTCATTTGCAGGCTATACGAGTCAGAACGGCTACGGCCTAGGAAGAGATTCTTATGCCTTTCCGGAGGTCACGCCAACCGGACTGAACATCAGTTTGAACCAATACCTAGTGGGTCAGATCAGCAGCGAGAACGCGACCGACGGAGCTCTTTACCGAAGTGCAACAACAGCTGGGGGATATTATTCTAGGCAATTTGAAATTCCCAGCGAGATGTTTCTCTATGACAAGGCAAACAGGCTCGATCTGTAAGCGACAGAAGATAGCTCGTTATATTCAAGAAATTTACTAACAGTATGAACGCTTAGCACCCTAACACAGAATCATCGATGGAGAGGTATTCTATGGGATGCGATAAAACTTGAGTGGAAGTAAAAATTAAGCTTACGGTGTGAATTATTCATCAATTAAACATAGTCCGCGCATGTGAGACTGGGCCGCTTGCGAAATCTCGGATTGAATACCTTACCTAGCTATTGTCAAAAGCTACCGCACTCTGTCAACATCTTCATTTGCCCATTTTGCCTCAGTTTGAACCATCTGCCCCATTTAATACTTCAACATCAGTCCTGAGTTACTCTCGAAACGACACTAGCGAGGTCCCGCTAGCCTAGTTGCATGCGGCAAGCGGCAACCTCAACGGTGTTTGTCGCAGTACAGGAACGAGCATCAACGGTTACTGTCTCTCAAACATAAAGGACCCAAGAGTTGAATATACTGTGGACAATTTTCATGTTCTCCGAGGGACAGAGCAGGCTAAAGCGTCAGACATGGATATGTGGGAGGAGATTGTATGCTTTTGTTCGCACACTACTACGCTCCTACGTGAAAATTTGGGGAGTGCTACGTTGGCGACATTATGTATGGAGAGATGTTTGCCGCTGCACTTCGGACGGCATGATTTTCAAGGTCACCTCGCAAAGCGGGAAAAGATTTAGATTGTGTATTGATTGCAAAAACGATGTGAAGAACACTGAAGACGCTAGGCTGCTCAATGTAGCCACTGTAGATCTTTCAACCTTCTAGCCCCCTCGCTGCAAAGCATTGATGGCATCTTTTGAAGTATGGCTAGACGCCCTGCTTCAAGCTGGGATTGATGCGCTGAATTAGAATTGATTGAGTGGTGTATGGAGCCATTGAAGGCACTGTCTTTGGGAGAACCCACGGTTGACATCCGGCATACTTACAAACGCGTCAATGCCAGCGCTCTGCGTCATCGAAGCTAAACTTGAGTGGCGTTTTCTAGAATTGTTTCACGCTTCGAGATAACGTAGTGCGCAATTGAGCGCTGGTTACGACGAGCTTAGTCAATCACTTAGTCAAAGCCGAAAATCGCATGCTATCCTTAGTCGGCCACACCGGCGGCGGTGCGCCCTTGACCTGACATTGCTGGGGGCTTCCGTTGTGGGGGAAGCCTTTTTACTGTATATCAGGCTATGACACCTCGCGGGTTTAGGTTGGGCTATTGAAGATATGACTTCAAGAAATATTAGGAAATCGCAGAGACATTTCAAGACTCTTGTGAAGAGGAAATCCTGTTGGAAACTCGACCCCCTGAGCACAAGCGCAAATTTTTTTTTCGACCCGCTTAGATTTGCCGCTGCCACCATCTGTCTGCCAGCTGGCAAACCCCAAGCGGCAGCGAGACAGTAAAATCTACCAATTTTTTTAGATTGTGCTGTGAACTTAGGCAATCGCTACGACGGGGGAATCTTTTACTGTGCTAGACGTGTGCAGCCTTACTAGACCCAGGCCAGACAATGGGTGTCACCCAGCTCACCTTCCGTAAGGCGGCGCCAAGCGATGTTCCTCTTCTTCTACCCCTGATCAAGTCAGCCTATCGTGGGGATGCCAGCCGCGCCGGATGGACAAGCGAGGCCGACTTGGTGGCAGACGACCGTATTGACGAGGCTGGCCTGCTGGTAAAGATCAACGCACCGCAGGGGGCTGTCTTGCTTGCGCACGATTGTGCCGGCAATCTCGCCGCATGTTGCGAGCTACTCAAGAAGAACTCCGAGACTGCCCACTTTGGGCTGTTTGCCGTTGATCCTGCACGCCAGGCCGGTGGTATTGGACGGCAGGTGCTAGAGCGCGCAGAACTATACGCTCGCGATGCATGGGGAGTAAGCAGGTTGGAGATGAGCGTCATCTGGACACGCGAAGAACTCATCGCGTGGTACATTCGAAGAGGATTCGAACGCACGGGAAAAAAAGCTCCGTTTCCGTATGCACATCTAGTCAATGGCTCAGCTCTCCGCGATGATCTATACTTCGACGTGCTAGCCAAGGGCATCTGATCGACCTTTAACCAGCCGAGGTCTGGCTTACATCTCTCTTCTACTAAAGATAAGATAGTATAATAGTGCTGGCTAATACCTAGGTAGAATATCTATTATAGCTATATACCGTTAGATGATATATATTATATATATATATTGGATAGAATATAGAAATGAAAATACAAGGAATTAAAATAAACGGTTAAAAAAGATAAGGTAGATTGAAGTCTGGAATATGCAATGGTGACTCTGTCTTGGTGAGCAAGGAGGGGTCACGATTCTATGCGGTCGGTTCTGTTGATAATGGCGTTGACGGACTCGATAGGCTCTCGCCAAGACAGATATGTCATAATAAACCATAGCTCGCGCAAGTTAAACTACAGCGGCTCGGTATCTTTGGTTCTATGAGGTAGCTAGAAGAGAGGTATATCGTAGTATACTCAAGTGGATATAGTGCCCGCTCTTTCTGAAAGAGAAGGTCATGTAATTACCGAAGCAATATCTCAGCTGGTGATGAAAAGTACGGGTCTACAATTGATCTTGATCACATTCGAGTAAAGGGTGGAATAGTATCTCTGGTCCTGACGTCCTGGTCCTAATTCGATGCCTCACTTACCATATTTCATAATAACTCGCCGATACACAGTTCAAGCACCACAGAGTCGTTCGAAACCGAGTACACTGACTCATAAGATGTCCCGACAGCGGCTGGTAGCCCCGTCGGGTATGCCCATTGGATTTGGTTCCATGCGTGTGGTCAGCGATAGGCATAAATATAACTTATGTCACGTTGAATTCACCTAGTCCCTACTTCCTACACATACCTAAGCTTGTCAGAGGCTCCTCTTGAGCCATATATATAGGACTACACTGAAGCCTTACATTACAGGAGAGGATGTGGACATAGCCATGTTTCTAGGGCAAGAAAACTGGTGGTTTGGTGCTCACCTTACAATGCCATGATGCTATCCTCTCAGAATATGTGAGATAAAATTAGACTGGAGATTTGATTTAGGACAATGATTCACGATAGACTGTTTTAGAAGAAGGGCTATGAGACAACCACTTGCCATTTAAGTCTAACTTCTCCATGCCTCGCACTAACAATACAGCCAATATACAACTCTATGCGCGAGAATCCTTCAAAATACGCCATGTAGCTCTTCAATGGGCGAAGAGTACTCTAGATATTAAATATTCCAAACAAAGTTCTGCGAGGTCCGTAAAAGACTATAAAGCAATATTGAACAAACGGTCACTTCACCTGTCCCGAGGTTTCATCTTGATGTGGTCTCGGTAGGTATAGAGAGGAGAATCATAGCTTGCATGATCGAGTGCCTCTCCTTAGTGTTGAACTGGAGGACCAGCATAGTTGCGATGGCCCCAGGCAACATACCAGGCAACTGAGATAACAGTGAATCCAACGAAAACTACCGACGCGTAATTCATCGTAGCGGCTTCAACCGGTAGATAAGAAGGCATGCAGAATAGAGGAATGGCGAGTAGTGACCAGGCTATAGAGATTAGCTTTGAAATCCGCAGTGAGGACGTATGTAGAACTTAGACTCTTACCGATCGCAACAATATTGCAAACAAGACCAATAGGGCCAAGATAGAAGTTTCCTTCTCTGATAGCTTGTCGTCCTTCGGCAACACTTACTGCAATTGGAGCAGCATATGATGTTGTCAGACAGATAACACCGACTCCGGAGAAAGCATTGAAGGCAGCGCTTGATCCGAAGTAAATAACACCGAGAATGATCTGCACCACCATACTCAGCATCATTGCGTTGAGAGGCACATCAAGCTTGACGTTAACTTTCTTCCACAAATGACTAGCCGGGATAGCGCCGTCTCGGGCGAATGCCCAAGTGCAACGAGATGCAGCTGTCGTACATCCAACACCACAGATGATGGCGAGAACTAGCAACGGAACTAGAAGACCGAAGGCACCACCTGAAGAGCCCACAGCTGACTTGATGATACTAGGAACTGGTTGTCCAGATGCCAAAGCCACCAACTCATCAATGTCTGGTAGCACGAAGACCAGAGGAATAAGGAAGAGGAGTCCGCAAATGGTGTTGATGACAATAGTCCCGACCATGGCCTTTGGAACTTGTGTAGATGGCTCTTGAACTTCTTCGCACATTCTGTAGGAATTAGAACGATTCAACCGTTAGTTCGCAACTTCGGAGACTTACGAGATAATCATTCCAGTGGAAGACGTCGCATAAGCAGCTTGTAGCAGACCAACGCAGAAGGACCATCCGGGGGTCCAACCAGAACGAGGTTCGAATGTTGTGAAGACATATTCACCACTGTGGCGGCCGTTCTTAGCAATGACTAGGATGCAGATAACCATAGCAATGACTCCGGCAAATGTCCAGAAAATGGCTGCAGTCTAATCGATGTCACTGTGTAAGCATACGTACGATTGCATGATTCCACGCGGAGTAATTTAGAATAAATGGAAACTCATACATCCAGTAGTGGAAGCCAACGGTTACCCAGGGCGGAGATGGCATTGCACAGCAGCGTGATGGCTAAGAAGATCAGGAAGATCTGATACGTTTCACCAGGAAAGACTCCGGCTCCGGGTTCTTTCTCAAACACATCGATGCAGGCGACAAGGAAAAGAGTGGTGCCAAAGTTCACAGCGAGTGTGATAGTGATGTTACCGACGACATAGAGCCAGCCGCAAATCCAACTGGCAACGCGCCGCCATCTCGCCGGTGCGAGCATGAACGTCTGGTAGTAGACTCCGCCAGCCGTGGGATAGACGCTCGTGATCTCACCAAGGGAGGCGGCAACACACAGGATAATACATGAGACGGCAACCCAGCCCCAGATGATATTCGTTGGGCCACCCCCGGCAAGTGGGTAGAAGAACGTGGTAGCTAGGCCGTACGGGATCGAGGCCAAGACGAATGACATAAAGGCAACTTGTAGGGTAGATCGATTACGTGATAGCTCAGGTGTATAGCCGAGAGCCTCAAGCAGTTGATCTGCAGAGCCTTCATCGGCGCCTAGCAGGTCTTCGCCAGCGTGTTTCCTGCCCAGGCCGACCTTCGACTCTTCGTGCCCATGGTGGCCGTGATGCGCGCGGGCACCGTGATCTTGTGGAGCGACTAAAGACATGTTTGCTGCTGTGCGGATTAGCTACAGCTCACTGTCCGATTGCTCGCAACGCCTTCAGGAGGTCGGTCCGGTCCGTTGGTGAGTAGCCACTGTGGTTTGCGGGTCGTTAGGGGTGAAGTAGTGAGATCTTGAGATGTAGGATGACAACCTCACAGATTTAAAACTGAAGGCCCCAAGAATTTCAGAACTGGATCAAACGACTAACTCTAATCTTAGATAATGGACTAATTTCGCGCAAAATCTCCTCCAGTCTAAACAAATCTGACATCACCGCCGACTTGGCTCCTTGGCTGTGGGTCTGCCAAGTATCCACAGTCGGTCTCGCCGAGGTACGTCCAACTCCCGGTGCCGAGGCCGTTAGGACCCCTGAGGCCGGATCCGGTTGACTTTATTGTTTCGGGAAGGTGTTTGTCTCCGGAGGCCTCGTGCCGCTCATCTTCTCAGATCAAGAGGAGATTTGGCAATTCGTGTGTTTTTTGATCACCAAAGCAGTTGAGCCGTCAACATGAGCCTTAACAAGCGCAAACGTGGAACAATTATGTAATTAGCGTCCACCAAAATCAACGTCCCAATTTTTATGGACCAGTATATACAATTGCCATTGTAATCCACCCAAAGTTACCTGATTGAAAGAGGGCCAACTTGCCGTTCGGCTATCTTGCTTTTGAGGTTTGGCCCCTACCAACGACAAGACTTTGCTCGAAGTCCTTTAGCCACTCACTGACTACTTTCAGTTAGCATGGTTCAGAAACCGAAGTAATCAGAATTTATAGATGAGCTTTGTGAACCCAATACTCACCGACTCTAATTTATGGTCGACCACCCTGAATCGTATCGGTTGCTGAAGAATTGGGCTTGCAGGTTGTCACTCACAGCCTGGGTGACAGCCGGAGCTTGTGCGACTACGGGTTGAGGTTGAAGATTGACTAGCATATTCTCCTACGTGTTAACGGTATCATACTCTGTTGAATACCCCAGACAGCAATCACCATATCGGCGGCATGTTTCACCTAGAAGCCGTCAGCTGGCTTGGCACGCTATCAGTCATATTGGCACATACAAAAAGGTCGCTTTTCGTCACATTTTCGTTGTCCCTTTCTGCATGAAACGCAGGCTGCTTTAGTAAACAAGTTGTTGTCCCGAGTATTTGGTGTCTTCTCGCTATATTCCCTCGTTGGCGCCGACTGGAGTATAGGATGCTGTCTGTGATCCGGAAACAGATGGACATTTGCAAGTTCAGCTGCGTTCGCTTCGCGGTGTGCTGGAGCAAATGACACTTGTCGCACCGTCCAAGTAGATATCCGCCCAGGAGACTGCTGATTATCCGTATTCGCCGCGTTAGTCCACGCTGGTCGCTCTGAACAAGGTCCAAAGCGTGATTTTTGTTGCCTCATTATGTCCTCAGTAGCCCAAACTGCAGGCATCGTTGCTTGAGAATCACATGCACTAGCCGCTGAGGTTGGAAACGCCGGACCGGTAGGGACCTGGCTGCGACCGGCCGCATTGCTTTGCACTAGCGATTGAGTTTGCTCAGCTGCATTTGGCAACTGTGCTCTCGGATCAGTTATCCATGGATATAAGGTCTTTCTTTTTACCAGTTGTATATGCGGCTTCGGCGTTTCGCGCTGGTATGGAAGAGCTGCTGCGTTCGAAGGACGCTTTTCGATTGAAAAAGCGCTAGTAGTTGCTTCCGTAATAGATGGTGGGTTGGACCAAACCTGAGTTTGTGCTGGGCCAGTTAGGGCATGATATGAAGCGCCGTGGATCAGGCTCCGCACATCCACCTTTGGGGTGGATATTGAATCGGCTTGTCTTTCGTCGACCTCGACAGACAAGCCGACGCCCTGTGTCCTGTTCATGGTCTCATCATGAAATATATGATCTTCTGACACTGGGGTCATCATATTCATTAGATCTGGGGGAGTCGTTGTGGAAGGTATGGCACTACCTATATCAGCTCCCGGTCTTGTAGATGATATATCATGGACTGAGTTACGTGGCTCAATCTCACAAGATGCCTCATGATCTCCATAAAGCTCAACATGTTGTTCTCTTTCGAGATCGCTTATTTTCAGGGGTGAGAAGTCTGGACTCGGTGGTTGTATGGGTGGCCAATTTGAGGAGCTATGATGATTTCTCTCGACTTCAGAAGCACTTCCCATTGCCGCAGGCGTGCCTGATCCTGAAACCAAACCGGATTGTTCACACACCACGTCACTGAGTTCAACTGCGACAACATCAGCGTTACAGATAGTCTTATCTTGATCCCTTGGATCGCTTCCAACGTGATCTAAGCACGGTGGTTGCCAGCCTTCCGTTGTGAAACATGGATCTTGATCAGAGTCGCTGTGGGGCGTTGTAGATGAATAATCCTGATGGCCGGCAGCTTCTAGGACTGTTTTCGCGAGATTCTGGTATTGGAGGAGAGATTCTAAAGCACTAGACCTGCCCAAACCTGTCGTAAATGCGCTTGGAAGATTGCCTAATTCGGCTGGCCTCTCCGAACTCCCACAGTCATTGGATAGTTCCGCTTCGTGGGCGTTAACATCCGTTGCTGGAGGTAGGCTCGTATAAGTTTCGGGCATCGTACAGAGCACTCCCTCATTGATGCCATCATCCTCCATGTCTATGGAGTGCTGTAGTGCCTCGTCAACCAAGTTAAGGAGCACCGTCGTAGAGCATGAATCTGACTCATCCGTGGGGACTCTAGGTGCAACCAATAACGCTTCTTCTTGCGCCGCCTCTTCTTGCGCTCGTTCTTCCTGAGCTCGTTCTTCAAATGCAACAGAAGTTTGGCCCGCCTGCGTGACTTCCATCGGCTGGTCTGAAGGTGCTATCTGAGGAGCATTGTTGTGAGCAATACAGTCTTCTTCATGAAGCACTGAGCTACTCGCACTTGGAGTCTCGTCAACAAAGTCACTGCTGCCGGAAGAGATCACTTCGACTATCGGCGCAGAGAAAGAAAACCGCTCAATCTCTGTGCATTAAGATTATGACATTAGCAATTGTAATGATACATCCCTATTATGATTGACTAACCAATATCCTCATCTTCTACTATGATAGGAGTTGTACCTCGGTGTCCTTTGCCCTGCGCCATTGCTTCCAGCCTGTCTCGAAACCTCAGTGCTGTTCGATATCCAAGTGCTTGCTGGCAATCGTGATCCTCGAAGTCAAAATATCTTAAATCTTTGGCGAGTACCCAGCTGTATAGATCTCCCTTTGGTACTTTCCAATTGCCCTTCAGTGGTATTTCTAGGTCATTGGTGAAATACATTATGGGAAACTTCCTCTTGGTGACCTTCTTCCCGCCGCTCTCAAAGCCATGTGCCCAGCCTGTGATTTTCTTGCCGTCTGAATTGAAACACACGGGAATGTACTGATCAAGGCCCGTGTCCGCGAAAGATCCTGACATGCCCAGAGAGCCCAAATCTTCAACATCTAAAGCCAATGCTGCATACCATGTTTTGGTGTTTTTCCAAAACGCCAGATATACCTCTCCGCTGACGGGTTCAACTATTCCTTGGAAATCAGTGTCGGCCTCTTGAGGGCTTTCTGCGTCGACGTTCTCTTGTAGAAGGTCCTCCTCGGACTGGTCGGCGAGAGATTCATCTCGAGATTGAGAATGATCATTCCGGCGCGATTCCTGGCCACGCTCAGCTTTTTTTGCATGGAATGGCTTGTATCCATTGCTCAAAGCCTTTGCGAATGCCTTGTTATTCAACGCAACTTTCCTCTTATCGCAATTCAGCACCCGAACGCCAAGCAGTTCGATTGACTTGCGGTAGTCCACCTGTGACACCATATGTTGTTGGCCAGTCAGATGCTGAATAGCGCCTTTCAATGGGCCTGATCCAAAATGAAGGTGCTCATCACAACGTAGTATGTACCAGGTGTCCTGATCCTGGGGGAACTGAACGATCATGTGTTTATACTTGGCTTTTCCACCTTGATATAGGTCTTCGAACAGGATAGTTCTCTCTGCCTTTCGTCTCTTGAGACCGCGTTCGGGAGAAACTTCGGGGGATCCGAAGTTCTCTGCTCTTTGAGATGATGAGCTTCTCCAGGCCTTGTCTGTTTGTAATCGTTTGCGTAATCCTCTCCTGGGCAACGATTCTGTTGACTTTTCGTTCTGCTGGATCTCGCTGTTAGTCGAGTTAAATAAAAGGATATAGTGAAGCGAACCAGATTGTTAGAGATTGTAACAGCTCTTCTCGGTCTAGCTCTAAGCCTTGCGAGATCTGATGGTGCTGAATCTTCTACAGCGGCTACGGTTTGGGCTGCACCGCTGTCTCCAGGCGACGTCCTCTGTACTGTCGCTGGGCCATCATTGTTTTCTTCTTGGTCTATTATTGGAATTGAACTATTATGACCAAGGGAATTGCTTTTCTCGTTCTCGCGCTGTGAACTTTCGATTACTGAAGGGCGAGCCTGCTTGCCCTGGACGGGGCCACCCTCTTCATTTTCGAGCTTTGAACGTGCATGTCAGTAATGACTTAGCGGAAAGCATGGTAGAAGTGGAAGTTGTACACTCACATTCCCGTTATTGACACTTTGGAGGTAGTAATTGCCAACTTGTGTTCGAAGATTGTGATCAAGCTTTCGTCTGGCAATCTCATATTCTTTCCCCAGTTGCTGCATTTGATCTTGTGATTTCTGCAGTTCGTCTTGCAATCTTTGGATTTCATTTTGGAGATTTTGCTGCTTGTTTTGAAGTTGAAGCAACTCTGATTTTCTCAGATCCTTGAAATGTGACAAGATTTTTTCCAGGCCTTGCTCAAAGTCGGATTTATCGTCGGCAGACACGGGAGCGATGCCTCGCGGGGACTCATCCATGGTTCGTCTCGTGTCGCAATAACGAGTCTTCAGTTCTTGGATCTCAAGAAGTGAGAAGCGCGTTGAAAGGTATGTGGGCAGGACGCCTAATTTATCGAAAGATTTCCAAGACCCCAGACTACCCTCCCTAAAGCGCCAAATCAGGCTGGTGTGCCACACCAATG